TGGTGGTGTAAAGTAAATGGTAGCTGTGGCTTTTGGGAATAGAAAATCAATGCGGTTTTTTTTGGTTGGTTTCTCATTTTGTTTGAATGTTGTAATGCTCAAAGTGAATCAATAGGTTGTTTTCTCTTGCATGTTGCGTTCTTCATTGTATTTCGTTACTTCTGTTCGATCTGAAAAAGTTTGATTGCACAGCTAAAAGTATAAGCAAATGTGCATTTTTCATAGACTTACTGCCAATTTTTTAAATGGCTTTAAAACAAAACTTGAGTCGCATAATCTGGTTTTCTTTGGTTTTTTTGTGGTTTTTTTTGTACAATGCAGCATTTATGATAGATATAAATCTGTGTAATAGTGCTGACGACAAGATCAAATGAAGGGAATGTTCCTCATCTAGACGGCATGAATTAAAACAAATAATAATTGTACTTAGTCTTCAATGTGCTGTTTCACTTCTTCCTTGTAAAATTCATTGTAGACCTCAAACAGGAATGAGTGAGGAATGCCACAGGACTCCCATTTTTCCAAAGTTTTGTTTTTCCTAATACTTGAGCCTCATCGTCTTTGAACTCGGAGCTTTTCAATGCTTGTCACTTCCTGCTGTCATGTTGCATTTTGTAAGCTTTTTGAGGTTGTTGGCGTTGTTTTGAGTGCTGACTAAAATGGTTTTGTCTAATGAATCGAGACATCAAAATTGTGTATATTTTTTCAGCCTGTGCCAATCCATAACCTACAAGAAATACTTGTTCAAACACCAAATTGAGTCTTTGTTCTGCACAACCCACCTGAAAACATGATGGGGACTGAGGGACTGAGCGTTACAATGTTTACAACTAATGCCAATGGTGTATAATATGTTGTATTGTTCTTGTTGGTTTCTTTCTCTTTTTTTAGGAGAGACTGTGTGATAGTTCTGCTTGTTTGCTTGTGTTGTAAGAAAATGCCATTGTGTGAAAATTTCGCTCTCGAAATTCACGTTTGTCATGAAGTGTGATGGGCAAGGTGCTAGTTAGGTGGTTGTTGATGCTGAATTAAATATGCCATAGCTCCTCGTGGAGAGTGGTGTGGAAAAGAATGTGGAATGTACAGTCTAGCACGCACATATTAAAATCAGGGGGACGTGGATATGTTTTTGTACTGTATGAATTTCGCCATGTACCCGTTTTAAATACAAAGGATATGCATGGCATCTTGTATAAGAAAAAATGCTGGTCCTTAAATGTTTGCTATGTGCATGCTAGATTTATATATATGTGATACATTGTGGTGAAATCAGGCGCTCGTGAATATAATGACATAGAAAAAAACTGGGATTTTTCTGTCCGTTTAGTAATCTTTATCAAATTTTTGTTTTTTGGCTTAACACCTTTAAGGTCCATTTAAAAAACATTTCTGCGTACATTGTTACAGAAAATGTTGATTAAAGGCACCAAAAATATAAAATTTCAGTTGCCAAAGACTCTCAAGCTTATTCAATCACCAAACTTTGACTGCCATTTTCTTGCTGATTTTTACCTCTGAGTGAAACCAGGCAATCCCCATCTCGTGGGTGATTGGCGGATTCTCTGGTGTGGTTTGCTCCTTCTTTCCTATCAAACATCTATCATCCTGATCTCTCCTTCTTTTTTATATTTGTTACTCTCTTGTAACACCTCTAATCTTCGGCACCTATATTACCTTATTGTATTGCTAGTGCCGTAAAACTCTTACTAAAAAAAATCCATACACCTTATTCAACCAAAATTTCTCTACGTTTGTTTAATATAGATGTTTTTTTGTTTTTTTATTGAAAGCAAGACAAATAAACAAGCTTTAAGATGATACCAATAATTCCATGTGCCCTAAAATTGACGAGCGCCTGATTCCACCACGTCATAACACACACACACACACACGTACACACACTCAGATATATGTCAGTGTACTTTCCCAAGAAGAAAGATAGAAATAATATGCTGCTATCTTTCTTTGGAACACTCTGAGTATACTGAAGAGAATAAAGTGTAAAACTTGAGAAAGGACATGGAAAAATGTCTTTCCAGTTGTACAGTTAACTCTCACTGGCACTGTAACAGGGTTATGTGTGTTGCATGATGGAGAATGGAGAAGAAAATAAGGTTGTCAGTATGTTGTTAGTGTCAGTTTGTGCTCATGCTGTTCATACAAGTCCAACGAATAGATGATGAGGATTGCCAAAGGCACAGGCTAATGGGATATGAATGGTGTAGGTTTGGGGTTGTGAATGTCTTGTAAAATAAGGTTGTAGTGTGAGACTAATGTGTGTTGGATGCATCTTGAAAGTGGTGTACTAGTGGAATAGTGAGGAAGTGAGTCGGGTACTGAAAGGAGTGGCATGGTGATGTATTATTGTTGAGTTTATTGAAGTAAAAGTGTGATGTGAATTGTAAAATTTACACTGTCATCCAAAGCGTTAATTGTCAAGTGAAAGTAGTTTTCTTTCACAGTAATTTATTGAAATCATTACCTGTCATTTGGTTGTTGTTCTTCTTTTTCATGTCCTTTTGTTTTGGTTTTTTTTTTGCTAAAATAAATTTATAAAAATGAATGCTTGCATTTGTTGTTATTTCTATATATTTGGTCGTCACAAAGTAGATTTGTTGTGGGTGGTTGGCAGGTGCTCTAGTGTGGTTTGCTTCTTCTTTCCTATCAAACATCTATCATCCTTATCTCCCCTTCTTCTTTTTTATATTTATTACTCCCTTGTAACAGCTCTAATCTTCTGGCGCTCATATGACCTTATGCAGTTGTGAGCGCCATGACCTTATGCAGTTGCGGGTGCCATAAAACCTCTACTGTGGGTGGTTGGCTGGTGCTCTGGTGTAGTTTGCTTCTTCTTTCCTATCGAACATCTATCGTCCTTATCTTCCCTCCTTTTTTATGTTTGTTACTCTCTTGTAACACCTCTAATCTTCTGGCGCTCATAGGACTTTATGCAGTTGCGAGCGCCGTAAAACCTCTACTAAAACTAAACTACAAGTAGATTAATTGTTCTCGATTTTTCACTGTTCCAGAGTTGCCCATCATTACGATTTCGATGGAATTGTTACCATTTTTATTCAATGTTATAAAAATACGATTGTAATGTCTAGTCTGAGCATCCCACGACTGGTCCACTGGGGAGGGGCAATGCTTGTACATGTACGTACTGTAGATCATTCTTCGCAACAGCATGTACAGTATGACCTACCGGAAACACGGTGTCACTTTCGGGTCCCCAAGTAGAGGCCTTTTTTTTTTACACATATACACCAATCCTAGGTCGTGTTCCAGGCGCGTTCAATGCCTGGTTCTGTACCATTGTTGTACATGAACGAATAAGAGAAAATGTGCGGAAGGACAGCGGGGGCTGTTTGAAAATAAAATGAACATGCATTTTCACATACTCATGGCTTTCCCTAGAACTAGCTCTGATTGTTTTTTTCTCTCCAAATTTTGATCTCATCTATAGAGCACTTATTGTGCCAGTAAGCTAGTAGACTTGGCCAAATGTAGCTCTGTAGCTACAGGAGCGTGTTGACGATGGTGAGAAAAAGAGAGGGAAGGAAGTTCTTGATATCTCTCGCTCCTTCCATCTCTTTTTCTGCTTTCCACCTTCTCCTCTTCCCCTACACCCCTTCTCTCTCTCTCTCTCTCTCTCTCTCTCTCTCTCTCT